ATTCTCTCGCGCTCGAGCAGCCAATTCCTAGATGTTAAGCCAATAATGCTATAATGTATTACATAAAACTAGTGACAATGCCAAAACTTGAAAAGCAATCAAAGTTAGGATTTTATGCACAATACGGATAAAGATTTGGTAGTCATGTTGAAAGAGCACTGGTCAAGTAAACGTACCCTAATCCTAGCCGATATGTCTTGAACTCCCATGATATCAGCTGAAAAGACTATCGGAGTGATAAGGCCGTTCGGAGTGGCAACAGCAATGGAGATGTCGACAGTGGGAAGGTATTGCACCTGCTGGGACTCAGGTGAGTAGCGAACATTTACCTCAGGAACAGCCTGTAATAGGGAAAATAGAAACGAAATCTAAGAAGTTAAGGCCTCTAAAGGAATACAACTGGGGAAGAGAACGAAATTTGGAAGAGATGACAACCTACCCTAAGTGCTAGAGCTGCTGCTTTGACGATAAAGTCATTAATTGAAACGGCTACATCTTTTGCACGTAAGTCTGCTTGAATGGCTAGGATCGCATCCGCTCGAATGTCGGCGGATTGATATTCATGCGGAATGGTTTGCTAGAAAACACTATAGCTCTCCCAAACAGCACAAGTTGAACATAGAAAAAGCGGATCGAAATCAAAAATTGAATAAAAAAAATGAAAACTATTAAATCCACAAGCATAGCGAAGAAAACAAGGTATGAATAATTATATAGAGCTTTAGGTGATAAAGAAAGCGATTAAAAGTTGGAATACCTTGGACTGAGTTAACCTTTTCGCGATTGTAGCACGGACATTAGAAAGAGGAATGTCGACAAATGGATCGACATAACGGACAGATCCGACAGAAGCCGCCGTAGCAGCAGCCTATTCCAAAGAAAAGGTTCAGAAAATCATAAGAAAAGATCGGTAGACGTGCGACTAGAAAAGAAAATGAGAATTGAGCAACACTGTCTAGAAAGCTACCTTCTGAGGTTTCACAGCTGAAGGAGCAGGTTGCGGAGGCGGAGCAACCTTGACTACAACGGGTTTGAG